TGTCTCTGTGGAAAGAGCAGCGAGTGCTGGAATAGTGAGAGTCAGCTGGCGGAAGCGCGGACCTGGCTCTGAATTCACTGTACGGCGGCCCGGCAGAGGTTTCAGTTCTTCAGGTTTAATGTGTTCCCTGTAAGTGTTTATTGCTGCTGATGATGTAGTGTGGAATTTAAATGAAGGTTCTTCACTTCTTCTTCCCCTTTACAGCAACCTCTGTGGGCAGGAACAACATTCAGACATGATTGGAAGAACGCGCATACCGCGTTCTTCCAAGCTGGGAGAAAAATGTGTCTCTGATGGCGACATCACATTTTCTGACTATGTGCAGTTTTAGATTCTTTTATACTGACCAATGGGAGCTGAGTCTGTTCTCCGCACACTCAGGATTCAGGCTCTGCTCTGTCATGTTATCAATGCTAATTGAGTCAGCTATGCAGGGGCAGAGTGGTGGCTCTGTGACTAAGGATCTGCACCTGTGACTGGAAGGTTGCCGGTTCTAATCCCGCGGCTGGCAGGGCCCTGAGCAAGGCCCTTAACCCCAGCTGCTCCAGGGGTGCCGTATAATGGCTGATTCCTAATTCCTAATGCAAGAAATTGTATAGGGAATTGTATATATCATTATCATCGCTGCTGACTTTGGTGTATAGAGATGGTTCCATTCTTAATGTTAAACACTGATTAACAGGGGTGATTAATATTCACATATTTCATAGCTGACTGCACTTAGGACACCATCACGTCAAAATAAATGCTCCTTGTAACATTTATGTAAAGTTTAAATTAACAAGTGACATGGATCATGTTGGCAATACGAACAGCACACTCACTGTAGACTGGATTTTTCTTCAGCTGTTTCTTCACAGCCTCCTTGAGTATTTTTTTAAGGAAGTTTGAAAAAGGTTTACCACTGAGGGGAAAAATCTAGAACTTAGTTTTCCAAGGTGCTATTATTAGATTTTCACAATCTAAAATATTTATAATGATTATAAAGTCTGTAAATGAGGACAGTGGGTCTAGTGTGCAGGTTAGTGCAGTGTGCTGTGTTAAAGTCAGCTGGTGAAGCATCAGAGGGATTATAATGACCAGTACTGTTGGGTTTTAGACTGTTTTATAAATGTAAGAAATTGGGGATCTTTAGGTAGAAAAGGACAGTCCCTTTTACAGTTAGCTCTATATTTGGTGTTTTCCAGTCTCTCCAATTTCTCAGTCTTTGTATCATAAATCCTCATCCAGTCAACACGTACAATAGCAGCAGGAGTGACACCATGATGTACTGTTTCAGCACATCAGCTAGACTTCACTTGTACAATTTATTTCTAGGGCTAAAAGACAAAATGTGAAGGGAAGATGGTGCGTTTAGAAATTGTTGCACATTAACCTTTTGGTCACAAAAATAGTAATTCCCGTACCAAATATATGGAAAAGGCTAGTCTGTGTAGGATAAAGACCTTCCCACTCTGTACGTACAGTGCCTTGCGAAAGTATTCGGCCCCCTTGAACTTTTCAACCTTTTGCCACATTTCAGGCTTCAAACATAAAGATATA